TGAAAAACGAAAAAATATACAAAATATATTAGTAAAATATTACGATTTTTTTTTTCTGTAGACTACTTTTTTACCAGCAATTTTCCTTCGGTTTACAATGATAGCACTGTTTCTAAAGGGAAATTTGACTGGAGAGGTATTTTATGGATGTCATTTTTCGATTTTCTCAAGAGTTTTCTTGGCAAATGTGAAAAACTGGGAAAACATGGGAAAACCGGGAAAAACGAGAAAATCGGTAAAATATTAAACAAATATTATTATAGAAAATATACAATGCCTATTTAATTATTTTACTATATTATGGCATACGAATTGTTGAAAAAGCATCACTATCAACTGAACTGCGCTAAGAATCGTTTTTAATCAACATTGTTTTATCGTTGCTTACAGATATACATTAAATTTCCCGTCTCCATTATCCTAGGACGTATTTTTTATCCATTTTTTTACAATTTATTTAAATATATTATACAAATCATTAAAATACATAAGTCGTATTGTGGTGATAAAATATAAGTTAATATTAATTAATCATATAATTTCACAAATTAGTTTAATTAATAGTACAATAATAAAATATTACTTATCATCAAGTGTTGCATTTTTTTTTTCGTTATTTTTTCGTTTTTTTCATAATATGATTATAATATAATATAATTGTAAAATAGAATAATATGTACCGTACCTATATTATTATGTTATTAAATTCGTACCAGCAAGAGAAACTTGCTAGGAGTCCTTAACTTGGATTTAAATGGGAAGGAAAACAACTATTGTAATTGTTTTAATAAATCGTACCCACATTTCGTAAATTGTCTGTTTTTTCCTATTTAAGGTATTCTTCCGAACGATAGAAAACAAAAATTGTTACTGATTGTATTCAATGATAAAATTAGAACACGTAACTCGTTATTCTAAGACATTTTATCCACAACGGAATATATACTTAATAAATAATAAGTAATAACCAATAACGTCGCAACTTAGTAATGCTAGTTTCGAATTGCACTTATAGTCGTTGTTGATAGTAACGAGAATTTAATACTTTTAAGGAAATACAAGAGAACGTTTTAATGTAAAACTCCTGCTTCTCTTTGAATCACATATTACTATTTCTTTGATTTTAACGTCAAGTCAATTCATATATCAGCGAACAACACAACAATACAAAACATCTTGTAACGGCGCAAAAAAAATGTACAATTTACATAAGAATACACACGAAAAACTGAAAAGTTTACATAATTAATATAAAAAAAGCAATACCAGCAACTTACTCCGGATTTCAAAAGAGTATCTTTTATTCTATTTGAAGTAAATTTTCGTCTAATTAGTGCGTTATTAATGCTTATATATATTTTTTTTTTTTTAATTTTTCGTATGGTATTACTAAGAATTTTGGAAATAATGTAGTGAAAACGGAAGTTTACGACAATAAAATTCGTAATTGTCAATTTTTTCTCCGAAATACAGACTACTACTCTTTATCGTATATTTGAATCAGATATACAAATATTATTACACATAGCGTAGTTTTATAGATTGATCATCAGAATGTATTTTTGACTGTTTTCGACTATCAACCCATCACACTCTCATCATTGTTATACCGATTTTCGTGATGGTGGAGATTTTCGGAATTTTAAATAAACGTTACATGGGTTTTAAATGAAAAGCCAGGAGGTTAGGGGTTAGAAGGAATTTTTTCACCATACTATATATTTTATCAGAATAGTATATGCTAATCAACCTAAAAACTTCCAGAATTCAAATTTGAATTATTTTCAGGCACATGTGATAAGCGTTGAAATAATATACGAATAATATTAAAAATATCTTACCGAGAACCAGATGTGCGACGAGGAAGAAATATATTACAGTGACGGAGTTCTGTTGTTTCCAGTGTTTTTTTCTGTAAAACCGTCTGTAATCATTGACGCACTACACAATAATATGAGTACTGTCGAAGATGCGAGAGTTCCTCCCCCAAATACAACACGATGTGAACTGACATACGTTTTTACAATATCGGAATTTCAACCTTCCGGAGGAAAAAACGTGTTTTTCTTTTTCAATAACAAATTCCTTCTCCGTGATTCAGTAGAGAGGTTATCTTTTTTTCTTTTAATCAATTTCCCATTGTAATTTTTAAATTTTATACCTAACATAACTATACTATAAATTTAATTATATAAAGAGATCAACAAGATTTGTATTCAAATTGTCAGTGATTATCAGTTCGTCGTCTACCAAATAATCGTAGTTTAGTATATATTAAAACCCTGACCTATCGAAAACGTGTTTATTAAAAAACCATATCTGCTTGGTGAAACTCAATGGGTTATAAGCCGAGATTAATCTTTTGATTACGATAACCGTATTTTATCGATTTTTTGTGAGAACGGGCTTTACTATTTAGAAAATAGCGTGATCAATCTATCGTAAGACGCTCGTTATCTCGAAAAGCGTTAAGTTTTTTCAAAATTTTCCTTTTTATAAAATTTTACGTTTATGTTATTGTTGTTGTCGCCCTTATTTACGGCGGGTAAAACCGCTAACAACTTTCGATTTTCAAACTGCGACCTATGTTAAAAATTCCGTAAATAGTTGAGGTATTGGTTAAAATAAATTTCGGTGTTGACATTTTTGATTTCCGTCAAACGGTTGACGAGATATTGCGCTTTTAAGTGCGGTTCAGGGGAGAGTAGTGGAGCATAATTTGTGTGACGCACGGTATGGGCAATACCATAGTGCGATCGTCACACGTTCGCGGCGGTCATGGCACGTGTTGGCGGTCGACACCGATGATGACACGCTGATGTGCGGCCAGGCTCCAAAGCGGCGTGCGGCGGTTTAACAATGCACCACTACTCGCCCCCGATCCATACTTATAAACGGAATAACTCGTCAACGGATTGACGGAAATCGTAAATTTTAACGGCGAAATTTATTTTAACTAATACTCCGTCTATTTATTGAGTTTTTGATAATAACGGTTACCGTTTGATATTCGAAAGTATAGGTAGCGGTCAGGGCTATCGATATAAATGGTCTCGCGACGAGCGAAAATATTTGACCGGGAAAGGTTTGTTATCGCAAAACTCTTTAAAACCCCGCAGTTCTGCAGTGCGGGGTAAAATTTTGTTAATATGTCAAAATACCGAAACAATATCTATCATTACATCAATCTGTAAAATATGATTAAAAACGGAAAAAAATGTTTTTTAAATCATTTTTTTTTAAATTTATGATATTCAAAATGTATAGAACTTTTATATACGATGATTATGTACATGGATTTTTATTTAAAGCATTAGGAACTGCTCCTTTTTTTAGATGCATTTTTTTCACACGTATCTATAAATTATGAAAAATATCTATTCTTTTTTGAAATAGAATATCGTCTAGTTGGTGAGTTAATAAGGCTTCTATTTTGTTTTTTTTTTAATTTTTCGTATAATTTTCCTAAGAATTTTGGACAATGTTTACGACAATGAAATTCGTGATTGTAAATTTTTTTCTCTGAAATACAAAGTACTATTCTTTATCGTATATCCGAATCTGATATACACATATAATTATACATGATGTAATTTTATAGATTGACCATCAGAATGAGTTTTTGGCGGTTTTCGACTATCAACCCATCTCATCTCCTCATCATTACTATACAGATTTTCGTGATGTTATTAATTTTCGGAATTTTAAATGAACGTAACATGCGTTTTAAATGAAAAACCGGGAGCCAAGTGTTATCAAATATTTTATTAACCAAATTTACAAATTTATGTTTTGGCGATTCACTAACCGTCTGATAACCGGAATGTACGATCGTAAATTTAATAACTAAACTGTTTACAACATCAATACACGTCTATTATTTTATCAATAATATAATCTAATTTGTATGAAAAAATTATAATGTGGATTTTTTTTATATATAGTTACTGAAATTTTCGCATCAAAAATCCGAATAGTGTGAAATAGATAAAACTCGCAGTAAATTCATAATATAACGATCATAATACATCGTAATTCGTGATCCACTAGATAGACCAATCCGCGTGTCAAGTCGCAATTGTTCACTAACCTTGCAATACTTTTATCGGGAAGATTTAAACAGGTACAATTATATAAAAACATGATAGTAATAATAATGGAGAAAATAACAAAGTCAATTTATTTGTACATAGCAATGGGTACATTGTCAATTTTGTAATAATAAAATAATATAATATGAATGAAATAATTAGTTTAAATCCAATTGGTCAAACCGCCATAGTGTGACCCAAGCCTAAGTCTGACTTATTAATTTATTAATTTGTATTATAAACATTATTATAATTACAATAAAATAAAAACAAAAAAAAAATACAAATAATACACTAAGCTACAAAAAAAATTATAGGTTAAACATAAAAATGACCTGATATCAATAATAACTAATGCTCAAAATATAATAATTTTAAAAACAATAAAAATAATATTTACACTATTAAAATAGTAGTAGGCTTTAAGAGATTGTAAAATTCATGATTAATTAATATTTATTTATATTTAGAATATAGTTTGTAACATACGAGTAGGATTGAGAATNAAGAGTTTTCCTATAATTAACTCGTATGCTATTCTTTGCCTTAATAATAAGATATCATTTTCGGTATAGTCGAGGGGTGCATCTCGTGTGAGAGCCTCTGCAGTCGCACATACAAACACCCCACAATCTGTTGTATTACTTTGACTCTGTATGGGTGATTGGCCACATCTGAAAGTATATTCTTTAATGTCTATACTTGTACCATACCATAAAAAACATTGGATATTTAAGTAAAATGAAATTATAGTTATTTCATATTCCGGGTGTGTCTGGCTGTTAAAACTATCAAATAAAATTATCTCCTTAGTTTCTAAATCTATTAAATAGAAAATCCAATGGTTTCCATTCAAATTAATAGGAAATAATAATTTTTTATATAAAAAAATAGGTTCATTTTTATTACTTAGTCTAAACAAATTTGAAAGTATTCTGGTACTATGGCTTTGATATAAAAAGGTATCAAATACTTGAATATCATTGGACGATCTGGCTTCTATTAATTTAAAATAATTATTTATCTCACTGTCGGACAGCCACATTTGCGGTATGAAAACCCTATTGAGATCATTCACATTAATCATGCCTAGTTTCTCCACCAATCCTCTCCCCAAAATAATTTTTAGAGAGATGAATAATTCCCAGCAGTATCCGGGGAAAATTTTTTGAACCTCGTTAATTTCACGATAATCCATATTAACAAATTTTTTTACCAAACTATTATGAATTTTGCAAGAATGCCAAATGTTATCCTCTATGTAGACTGTGATATTTTCGATTTTATCACATCCACTATATTTAATTTTTAATTGATAAAAAATAGGGGGTTTAATTTGGTTATCCAATTTTATTCTTTTGGCCTGCAGTTGCTTTGACTCAAATACAGAAAGTTGCATATCATTAGTGGAGAGTTGTATTTCGTCATCTAATTTTACTATGGTACATGTAGTGGTTTGATAATCATTCTGAAGATGACAAGATGATATTTTGACACCTTCAGTATTATTTTCATCCAATTTCTTTGCACAGTCTACTATAAATATATTATCCATATGAATAATATAATTAGTTACATTTTTTATATCATTACATAGTTTTAAAGTAATTTCGTCATTATTGGATAAATTAAATTTCGAGCTCATCTCCGAAATTAATTGAACAGCTATCGAATCAAATCTACTGAGATTTGATATATGATTAGGCTTTGTAATTTTTTCTTTGGTTTTAAAATAGTTTGAATTACGTTCGGCGAACAGTTTGAACATTTCTGCGGTACTTGCATTCAAATTCTTTTCAATTTTGGCTATCAAGTACGTTTCACGTTGTCGGTTCAAATCCATTTTGAAACTAAAATCAAAACCATAAAACAGAAATCGTCAGTAATTAATAATTATAATAAAATAGAAAATTAATATAACAAATAATAAGTGTATATGAAAAAAATTAAGTGGTGAACAGAAAAATCGGTTCATCGGTGAATTTTTTGCAGTGTAAGTGGTGAACTATAGATATATTGGTATAGAAGATAAAAATAAAATCATATTTGTTATCAATACTACAAATAACGTAAGTACTTATTTAAATCAGTAATTATGATAGTGGTCGAGACAAGTTACGTGAAATAATTTTTCAAAAAACAGCCTCTCTATATTTTTAGACGCGGACTATATATAATAAATGGGAATTCAATTTGCTGCAACTAATTATTACATTTACTATTTCTACTATCCACTTACAAGCAAAATAAAAAAATGTACTTCTAATGCACCATAGACAAAATTTATTTTAAAGAAGTTACAATACTGCACACATCGAGGAGTGATTCCTTTTCGATAAATTGTGTACAGATAGAAAAAATAAATAAATACTTTTGTAATATACTCACTCTATAATGACGTACGACAGTAGAAAAAAATAAGGAAAATAATCGCTGGGTAGATCACTGTTCTGGAAGAACAGTGTATACTTATGTACTTAGCTAAATAATCCTATGATATTAAATGTCGGAAAAGAAGAAGTTAATAATATTGATTTAGGAATGTTATAGATGTATTTGGTAGACTTAAAAATCACCGGTATCATCTTAATAATTCTCTAAACGTAATTAATTTGTATTTCCGAGTGTTTTGCTCGTACAAGTTATGTATATGTTATGTATAAGTTATGTATGTGAATATTATATGCTTTTCTTTATTATTTTTTTTTTTTTTATGTACCGCGAGAAGAAAATTATAGCGCAGTTCGGCAGTTATTGACACACTGACTGAATATTCCAGCGGCCCCGGTCTATCGAACGGTTTTCTCGCACGAGCGCTGCCGGTGAAGGGGTGAAATCCAGAGATAGATAGGCCTATCGAGAAATCGGGATTTCGCCGGTTATACTACATTATGAGGCACCCAGGTTCAAATACCATATTTTATGTTTTAAATGTTATCAATGTTCGACATGTCAAATATAGTTAAGTGATTTTAAACTAGGTAACATATAGTATTTAATTTAAAATGTATGTACAAATCGGTATTACATAATTTAAAGTGCCGTATTTTTTTTTGCGATTTTCGTTTAAATTTGAATTCAAAACGCTTATTAAAAAAAAAAAAAAGTCGTCCGATGATTTCAGACATTTTACCACATCTAGGTAAGTCCATTATAAATATTATTGCCAGGTTTCAAATCTCTACGTATATTTATAACCGAATAACTTCAAAAAAAACTCCCAACATTTAAAATTCCTTAAAAGCTCAAAAGTAGCTAAGAGGTTTTGACGATGATACCTTAGGAAAGTAAATGAAAAAGCAACAAAAAAGGTATTTTATGATTTTTTGATTTTTTCTTATGGAAAACGAGTCGGTGTTTTTATAAAAAAAAATGAAATTGTACGTTTTCCTACGTTTTATTCCACTTAAATGCCCATATTTAAAAAAATGGCATCGAAGATCAAAAAAAAAAAAAACATCTTTAAAATACCATATAGACAATTTAAGCTTTCAGGAAGGTTGCTTCAGGTAAAAATCGGAGCAAGTTTACTAAGAAAAAACGTGTCCACAGACTAGAACAATGAAAAAACGAAATGAACATCGTAGTAAAACCAATAGCCCCCTCACTACGCTTAGAACCTAAAAGGAAATTCTGTTTCGGGTATTTTCGGTACTGTAATAAAAAATTATATTTAACTGATGCAATTTCATATGTAGTAATACAGTTTGTAAGGTATACATTAGTAAAAATATTGTATATTATTAATAAATAGGTACTCTATATATTATATAAATATTTTATGTTTTTCATGTTTTATAATTAAATTGTTCATAATATTTTATTTATTTATATTGTATAAACTAATTGTTTTTTAATAATTATTTATTACGATATGTAATTTAATCATGCAAATAGTATACTATAACTCCCTACACCACCACAAGTTTTGCTTAAAGGTGTAGGTATTTTTTATTATTTCTTTAATACTTTGTAATTGTATTTTATAATGCATAAGTTAAATAAACAAAAAATAAATTAGACAAAAAATGTGTTTAAACAGTGTATTTCTTAAAAAAAATTTTTTTATGATTTTTTTGAAGCAAAGAGGTCAATGGTTTCATTGTAGTTCAAAGAATGATCAATACTATGTCTGATAAAATATGTTTGAGCGTTTTCAAGCCAATAACAATGTGTTTAGCTGAGTATAATTGGTACCATTTTGATTTTCGTCAATCGGAAAAATTTATACAATTAGTAAAAAAAAAACAATACCGGCAATCTTACTCCGGATTTCAAAAGAGTATCTTTTATTCTATTTGAAATAAATTTTCGTCTAGTTAGTGCGTTATTAAAGCTTATATATATATATTTTTTTTTAATTTTTTGTATGGTATTCCTAAGAATTTTGGAAAGAATGTAGTGAAAACGGAAGTTTACGACAATAAAATTTGTAATTGTCAATTTTTTCTCCGAAATACAGAATACTACTCTTTATCGTAAATCTGAATTAGATATACAAATATTATTATACATGGCGTAATTTTATAGATTGATCATCAAAATGTATTTTTGACTATTTTCGATTATCAACCCATCACACTCTCTCATCATTGCTATACCGATTTTCGTGACGGTAGAGATTTTCGGAATTTTAAATTATCGTGACATGCGTTTTGAATGAAAAGCAAGAAAGTTAAAGGTTAAAAGGAACTTTTTCACCGTACTATATATTTTATCCTAATAGTATATGCTAATCAATCAAACAAATTTCTAGAGTTCAAATTTGAATAATTTTCAGGCACATGTGATAAGCGTTGAAATAATATACGAATAATATTTAAAATATCTTACCGAGAACCAGATGTGTGACGAGGAAGAAAAGTATTACGGCGACGGAGTTCTGTTGTTCTCGGTGTCTTTTTCTGTAAAACAGTCTATGACGCACTGCAGAATAATAAGAGTACTGTCGATGATGCGAGAGTTCCTCCCCCGAATACAACACGATGTGAACTGTGTACGTTTTTAATATATCGGAAGATCTACCGACCGCAGGAAAAATGTGTTTTTTTTTCAGTTTCAGGAGATAAAATTGTATACATTGTATAAACGTGCACGTATTATGATCGTTTCTTTGTGTACCACATAAGTCATTTTTGTCTACTCGACTGACCGACCACCAACGGCGTTCCTTTTGATTTATATAAAGACAACTCTTGTGGGGTAAATGCAATAGAATGCGTTTAAGTCTTCGAAGAACACACCCTGCGGTTGGACGGATTTATTACACTATGGTAATGAAAAGGTTTTTTAATATTAAGTCCGATTAAACCGCAGAACAGGTAGTTTACGTTAGAACCGACCCTCGATGGCAAGAACGCGTACCGGTTTTTTTTTCTCGTTTTTCGCTTATTTTATGCACATGCCGTTGCAGTCGCCGAAACATGCTTGTACAAAAAAAGTAATTCGCCGCCGTCGTCGTCGTCGGTTTCGTCTTAGTCTAATAATCAGGGAGCCTCAATCATAAGCCTCGAGTTTTTTGAGGCCTCGCGGTTATGAACCCATAAGAATAATGTAGCATTATTATAATGAGCGTATAATTAAGAAAGCCGTCGGTAGGGGAAAGGGGTGTTTCGTTCGTTCGAATACACGACTCCGAGCGTCCCGCTCGTTGGGAACACGTTCGGTAAGCCTCGGTTTTTGCTGTTCGCGGGGAATGCGCGTATCCGCAGTGCGGTTAATTCGTTGGGAGTGTTTACGAAAAAAAAAAGTCATCAATTAATTAAAAATAATAAAAAAAGTAACATAATTCGGGTGATTTGAAAATACAAAATACTTTTTTGAATGTTCTTTATTTGCACGCAAAGATTGTGTACGTTTTGAGGCTCAATTTTTGTTATCACGCCATGATCAAGTTCCTCTATGACGCCGATTTGCCGATTTTAAAAACAGAATTTATTGTGATTCGTATTTTGTAGGTAGGTATCTTATAGTTCTATTAGTAATCTATTAGTCCGTATAAGTATTGGATATATCTGCTGAATATACACAACAACCTAATAAGTATTGTACAGATTTAAACCGCAATAAGTCAAAAGTTAAGACTCATAACACACATAAAGTCCGAAAATTGAACTTTTAAAAAATTATTTTTACATTGCCCGTGTTTTTTTTATGAATTTCAAATAATAAGCGAGATAATATTTATGTTGTGTTTTTTTATAAAAAATTAACGAAATGTAAGTACGTGTGTTAATTTACAACGGCGGCATATTTTTTTCCTACGACGGAGCATTTTTTCCTAGAAAAGGTCTTCGGTAAGGGGCTTTTTATTTTTACTCGGTTCTTTATAGTATATTTTATAATATTTTTATTTTTTTTTTTTATACGACGGGTCTAGTATCGGACATCGATATTTCGATCCGAACAATATTGCTGCGCGTCGATAAATCGAATAACGATAAATGATATGGAGCGTGTTTTCGTTTAATCCGGCGACGGGTAACGAACGGAGAGGGCTTACAACGTTGTGCCGGAATTGCGCGCGCCGGAAACGCATGCGCGAATCAATAAGCGGCCGCCCCTTCGTCGTGCGATATTTTTATTTTCTCCGTCCGTCCGACAGAGCGCGCCGAAAACGTTGGATGAAATTCGGTCGGCAGCGTACGCGCAGCAGCGGCTGTACATCGACCGCGTCCCCGAATCCCCCCGCACCCCGCATAATCCCGTCTGGGGCGTTACGCGATTGTTTTCAAAGGTCGGTCCGGCTATAGGGTCGTACGTCTCACGGAGCTCAGATTAAAATAACAAGTATAATAATATTATGTGTTTTACAACGGCGCTTTTTTTTCCCTCAAAATGGTT